CTGCATTTTTTTAATTTATAGGTATATTTGCCATATAACACACACCCAATTCTTCACAAAGAAACCTAAAATATACATGGGGAATGGTCTTATTTTTGGAGGTCACTTATTTGAGATTTGTCCTAGCCTTTTGAACAATGGTATACTGAACTCGAGCCTTTTGAACAATGGTGATAAGGGGAACAATTATGTGTGTCAGTTAAATGCTTGAGGGAGGAAATATTCCTGTAAAGAGGGTGGACTGTATTCAATGCAAATATAAGAAATAATGCTATCATATGGTTTCGAGAAAAGGGGGATATACTTTGGCATAAAAATGCACCTCCAACCTGAATGAATTCATGGAATTAGGAGTTAGATGTTTTCTCCTTCTGTAGTCATTTGAAGCCATGGTTTCTGAAATGAAAATCACATTTGCTTTAGTTGAAATATAGTTGATCTAGTGTCCTGCTCAGTAATAAATATGGCTTCTGCAAAAAGAAACAGGCACAGTACTGGTTTCAAATGCAAAGTCGTTCATTTAGCAAAAGAAAATGAAAATCGTGCTGCAGCAAGTGTTTGGTGTTGGTGAAAGTTGGATGGATGATAATGATTATTTATTTGCAGATCAGAGTAACAATGATTTTGAAGATGAAACAGAATTTGATGATGTGCCTGAAGATATAATGGAAGACGAAGATTATGAATATTTCATATTATCCAATAATGAAAATGTTTAAGTTCATAAGGTATATCATTTCTTTTAAATAAACAGCATTTAAGTATATATATAGAAATCTAATTTTTTATGCAATTTCTTATTTTTAAATCTATTACTTTTATACTTGGTGTATAATGCGCACTCCTAAATTTCAATCTTATTTTTTATATTGAATGTGTGTGTTATACGCCGGAATATATGGTACTTCATTAGGTCAAACATTTAAATATATTAAATGTTACTAAGCTATCCAAATCCTACAATATTTTCAAAACCACAAACCTGCCCAAGCCAGGTATAATAAATAGAATTAAAATGGTTTAAGGACACAGGAACTCACTATCACATAGTGACTAGCTCTTTATGTTATGACAGGAACTCACTATCACATAGTGAGTTCCTGTGTCATAACATAAAGAGCTAGTCTTGAGAGCTACGTAAAGAAGTAGTCAATTTTCATACAAATTGCAGAACAAGACGCAACAGACAAAAATATTCAGACAAACGTTTTTAATATGGAATTTAACAAAACACAGAAGTTCCCAACTTTGTCTGAAGCTTGCTTCAATGCCTTTAGATAAAATCTGGAAGGACAACTGCAACACTGCTGAAACTATTACAGTTTGGAAAGATCTAGAAAACAGCTTGAAAAGTCTTGATAAAATAAGCATACAATTACCTATGTGATGAACAAGCACTGTCATCCAACAAATTTTAGCATATATTACCAAAATATAAAGCTGAAGCCTTACTAGCAAGTGAAAATGAACAAGTTTGGAATTAGTAGAAGAAAGACATGCAGACAATATTTTATTCAGCATTACAGCAAAATTTACAATTTGCATTTCACCTGTCTGCAGAACTCTTCTAAAAAGGTACAGCTGAGTCAACAACCACACTTGAGTGGTGAAAATCAATAGTTCCTGTGAAAGAATATACATCAGAAAATAAACTGGATAACACTGAAAAGTTAGGAACAGCATGAGCCTCAGCAATAGGGACTGAAAGAATATTTGCTACATTTGAAATCAGGGCTGTGGAGTCGGTAGGTAAAATGACAGACTCCATCTCCTTGAATTTTAATGACTCCGACTTCAAACATATACACATGGATACAGCTTATTTTTTTAATATAAAAGGAGTAATAGATGCTACAGAAAAAAACTGATGCATGGCAAATTTTTTATGTTAATTAGCATTTATTATGAAATGGAAAAACTGTCATTAATAATTTCCAAGAAACAGTAAAACTTCGGCAAGATCTTCTTTGTTAGAGGACCATAGATCCAATTTGATAAACTTCAGAACTGAGAAGTGTCTTTCCACACTGACTTGAGTAGGAAGAAGAGCTGTTACTGTTAGGGCTACTTCCTTTAACTTTTCACGATAGATTTTTTATAAGTTCTAAAAGAGGTGTCTTGCAAGAGCAATCATATTTATATATTTCTTCAAAGGCTGTGTATAAATCTTGTCTGTATTTTTTCATTTTTATATCTAAAGGCTCTTGGTTATTTATTTTCATTCGCTTTGCCTTACCCTTTTTAATATTACCCAAATATTTCTATGATAGAGACTCAATTGCAATATCTGATGTTTGACTACCTGATTTCAATACACCAGTTGTTCTGAGAATAATTTCATTCTTAATAAAAGTTCATAGATTGCCTTCTTTGCAATTTTAATTTGGTTGTCCTCCGATAAAATTCGGGGTTTTGAATCTAATAATTGAATCCATCACGACCTTATTATCTAGCAAACTAGTTTCTCTTTTCTTCATTGAAGAAACGATTCCTTCTGCAATAAACCCTCCATTTCAGAAAGAACAAATATCACATTTTTCCAGTCTTGCCTCTTGTTAATTCTTCAGATTTTAGCTTTTTGGTGACTATATATGGTATAGAAAGAAAAGAGTTTCCAATTCTGCAATATCATTCCACAGTCTTTCTGTTAGTGAAACATTAGGATTATCTACATCTTCTAGCATTTTCGTCTCCTGTTAATTCTTCAAATTGTAGCTTTTTTGTAGCTATATACAGCATTGACAGAAGGGTTTCTCATACAGACTTTCTGTTAGTGAAATATTAGGGTTATTTACATCTTCTGAAAAAGTTCTTAATTCTTACAACCACTGTATCATCAAATATGTACTACTCCATTGTGTTGCTCCTTTTCCTGCTCGCTTCCTCAGAATGGCATCAATTTTGGGAGTTCTTGCTGCTATTGCTGCTTACCTAAATTGTAACTAAATGAAGCAGTTTTTTCAATAATGGCAAATATCACATCCATTCTCCTCCCTTATATTTATTTATTAATATATCAAATAAAATAGAAAATAACTATTTATTAATGTATATAGTTCATAAATAAAAATAATAACTCTGTCATTTCAAATTCAAACTGTTCAACAAAAACTGGAGTTGCGAGTCACCGTGCTTTTTTAGCGACCTCCAACTCCCAACTCCTTTTACCCAAAAATCTACCCGACTCCACAGCCTTGTTTGAAATTGTATACAACAAATTGAGAAATCAGATAGGGTTAAAGAGACAGCAAAACCTTTTATTTAAAGCACTTAATACCAATGGAAACAATGCAGATATTATGTGAAATGCTAATTTCAAACCATTTTTGAGATTGTAAATATAAGTGCTATTCTTATGGTTATATTTACTCTACTGATTTATTTGTATTAATATATAAGATATAACTACAAGATGTGGTTTTATTATTTTTATAATTATTTTTTCAGTACATAAGAGTATGTAAATTTATATTTAAGTGATATATTTAAGTATATCTGCCAGTTATTAATGCCAAAAAACTGCAAAGATATTTTATTGATTTTTCTGCTGTTAATTATAAATTAGGTACAAGGAATATTATTTTAGTTAGTAAATATGAGTAATTACTATATTAATTTTATGTGTAAAATATATATAACAATTTTTTTATAATCTAATTAGGGATTTAATTACTATGAAAATCTTTAATACATGGTAATAAATGAAAGCATAAAAAATAAAAAAATCTGATTTAAATAAAACAAATCATTTACACCTTGAACCATAATAATAACAGAGAAATTAATGTACATGTTATTCTACATTTGTGATACAAAATATGTTAAAATAGAACCTTTATTACTGTACCTCCAAATTTGCTTATATTTCTTTAATGATTATATTTATATGCTTAAATGTTTCAATACTTTCAAATGAGTAATAATAAATTTGCACTATTTGATGCAAGGCAACTTAAAATTTAATAACTGACAAAATTCAAATTTGTTTAGGAAAAATCAAGCACAGTAAGTAGTTTGCCATCTTTCATCCTGATATTCAGATCATATGCAAGAATAACAATCACTGTGATACAAGTGATAGTCAGAAACAATTTATACTGTAATTAATCCATCAACTCTTCATCCATCACCCTACACTGCAGTTTATTACATTCAAAACTTTGTATTGAATCATATTATTTCACAAGTAGTATGATTCAACCGAAGTCTATAAGTCTGTCTATAAAATCAACATTTACATAAACCAAATTATATTTAAAAAAGAGGATAAAACTACAATTGTTTTTGTGGATGACTGAGCTACACTTGGAAATGAAAATATATTTTAGCCCCAATAAATGGAACAAAAGTGTTTCGTATGTTCTAAGCATAATTTAATTTTGAAATGGTGAGACGGCATATTTTGTATCTCTCAAAAACAAACAGTTCAATGAAGATGCTTTAACATTTTTCAATTGAAATCAGGTTAGATCACATTACGCATGGAGAAAACCACAAAAACTACCACACAGTTAACCCATTTGGTGGGATTTGAAATCAGGCTTAACTAAGGCTGAATACAATGTTAATATACAAGACAGCATCATGAACATTGCAAGCATGAAAGTTCTCTCAAGGCAGAGTTTAAATTGTGCTGATACTTTTTAGGTTTTGGGACATATTTTAATTCTAGTCGGAGCGTAAGGGAGCTCTAAATAAGAAGGCTCCAACACGTTTTTTTATGTAATGGAACAATTATTTCAGTAGAAATTTGATCTAGAAAATTTTATTTTTAGCAATAAAATTGTATAAAAAATCACTTGTTAAATTTTAACATATTGCTTTACATTTTAATTATTTTAAAACAAATAAATTAATTAAATATAATTAAAACATATTAATTAGTAATATTAAATTAAATATTATTCATTAATTTGATACTCATAAACTATTTAATTTTTAAATTATTAATGATTTTAATAGTCATTTTATTTATTTATTTACACTTGTTTCTCTTTCCTGATGGTCTTCCATAAGGCTCCGGCACTTCTACTTTTAGAAATAAAGCCCTGTCTCATGTTAGATAATCGGTAAATAATTGCGATACTCAAATAATACAAATAATAATTTAATTTCCAATTTCTGGTTTTGCATTTTTATAAATGTTCATTTATATATAACAAATAAAAATATACATTTAATAAATAATCTGATGAGAAAATAAACAAACAGCAATTGAGCATTTACACAAAATAAAAGTACAGATTATGAAAAGAAAACAAGATATACATTAACTTTTAGTAAGGGAGTAAATTTTTCCAGCAATTGTTTAAACCATTCAAAGCCATAAACAATGAACAGGAATTCTAGAAAATAAAAAATTTTCAAAAATTTAGTTTAGAAACAAAAGTTTTCAGTTGTTTTCTCAAATGAAGCTAATGTTAAAATTATATAAAATGTGCATTAATTCAATTTTCTGGTTAAAAAAATATTTTACAAACAAAAACTTTTTGACACAATGAAAAAATTTAAAGCATTTCTTTCATACAGTTATAAAACATTAAATAATGGCTATTTAAAATGAAATAGTAAAATATCAGCTATATAAAACTTTTAAAAGCGTGACTAGTTTCAGGGATACATTAAAAATTGCTGTACATGAAAGAGAAATATGATTATTTCACAGAACAAGGAAAAATTCTGCAAGATAACATTTTAAAAGGAACTGTATTTTGCTGAGCACACTTTTTTTTTGTTATTTCTAATTATGAATTTCATTAGGTGGTATTTCAATATACATAGGTGATGATATACTTTCTCAGCTTTGTGCTAAAACTAATGTTAAGTTCTTAAAGGAAAAACAGAACTATGCTCGTGGTTGTCAATAACATAATTATGGATCATACACATCTTCATGAGAAATGTTCACCATAGAAGATGACAAAGAGACAGATGTTTTATGTTCTGGCAGAACTGGAATAAGGGGCAATTTCAAATTACATCTTTGTCCACAGTTTTTTCCACATAACTTGCAATTTTTTCCACATACACATAGTTCTGGATTTTGGTCATTGGTATGTGATTGCATATGACCTTTGAGTAGGCTTCTTAAAGAGAAGCATTTGTGGCACACATCACAAGCATGTTTCGTTTTGGTATGTGATAAAAAATGTGTCTTCAAACGACTCTTAACTACAAAACACTTTCCACAGATATCACAATTATGAGGTCTATCTCCTGAATGCAGAAGTGCATGAGTTTTCAAGTGAGATTTCTGCCTAAAGGACTTACTGCAAATTGAACAATTAAAAGGTCTTTCACCAGTATGTATCATCATATGCCTTTTCAAAAAATATTTTTGTTTGAATGATTTCTGACAAATATTGCATGTGAATGGACATTCATTTGTATGAGTAAGTAAATGCATTTTCAGATTACTCTGCTGCACAAAACGTTTCGAGCAGATATTGCACATATATGGTCGTTCACCAGTATGAGTAAGCATATGTCTCTTCAGATTTCCTTTTAATGTAAATGTCTTTTTACACATCTCACAATTGTAGAGTCTCTCTTTTAATCCTAAAGCCTCTTTTTTTTCCTTTGAAGCTTGAAAGACAAAAGCAGCTGTAGTATAAACATTGCATACAAATGACTGCTCAGAATCAGTTAATGAATTATTTTCTTCTTGAGACATTATTCTTTTTGTAATCAAACAAAGAAAATAACTAATGATTAGAAAACTTTACCATAAATTTTATAATGAATGGTAAAACCATACCATTCAGTTTTTATGTACGTATTTATTACAATAATTATTTTATTTTCAATTTTTGCCCAGCTTCAGGTAAAAAAACAATAAACAATAAGAAATATATTTGTTATTACATATGATGCTGAAGTGATGCATATTATTTTAATCAATTAAAAAATTTATTTGAAATAAAAATGTTATCCCTTTTATAATATTCATAAAATAAATTTTCATATAATACACTAAGATTAAAATGTTTTGTATCACAGGCTTGAAAAATTATCATACTTTAGATATTCAGTGTATTCTTGTCACATTTTCAGAAATTGAACCTGTATAAAGAAATAATATATTAATTGCTTATATCAATACAAACAAACAAACAAAAAATAAATAAAAATACAACTTAACTCATTTAAAATATAAAAGAGTTGTTTTAATGAGAAATAACAATCATTAACTGAAAAAAGTTTCACTTTATATACTCAAGGAATGCATTTAATTAAAATTTCTGAATTTAAGTCTACTGAAATTGTTCCAATTAATTCAATAATCTTGTTTCATATTTTATATTTTACATTATACATAATGTATATATAAATTATATGCATGTATGTATACTTAAAATTATCCAATAATATAGTTATGAATTTTTACAGATCATCTTTTTTCAGGTATAATTTGAAAAATAACAATCATAATAACACAATTCAAGTGCCCATGAGCTCTTCAATAATTACAAACATATATTTACAATACCATGCTGGCTAAGAAAGAATATGGACATCGTGTTAACAGGACAAAGCATTAGAAGAACAAATTATGGATGTTGTATTAAGACTAACAAATTTTCTTTTTAGCTCAACACAAGGACACAATATTACCTTACTATTAGTGATTTATAAATTTCTGTTTGATTATTATTATAAAGAAAATCAATTTCCCTTTTCATTGTATAAATATGTGCATCATTTGAGTTTTGTACAAATTTTAGGATAGCCATTAATTTTGGAATGAAGATCGATTTACCATAAGCAATTTACTATTTCTTAAGCTATAGACATGAAATAACAAGCAGATTAAGGAAAAAGAAACTTCAGGGTACACTGGATATACAGTTAAAGCACACATACATTTCATAAATGTCACATATATGTTATATGCAAATGCTTCCCACTTTATGAACTTCTGCAGACATGAACAAACTTCTTATTAAACAGTAAAAATTTCAAGTCAAAAAGAAATTAAATAAATGGAATATATCAAATGAGACTACCTGATGTGTACAGTGATACTACACAGGCAGTGAAGGAAGCGTGAACCAAAGTTGATGAAAACCCTGATGCCAGTTTAGGGTACTTTTGGAAGGAGTGCAATATTTATAATTGTGTGCAGAACATCCACAATGCATGAAGAGATATTACTGATATAAACATGAATGTCCTCTAGAAAAGTATGTGCCCTTAATCTTGTTCAACACTTATCATGTTTATAATCAAGATGATGAAAAGAAGAAATTCTTTGCGAGTCTCATTAACATTAGACGGCAATTTAAGCTAAGCATGCAAGAGGAAGATTTCATAGAACTGCTAGACCCAGAAGAATTGATTAGACCCGATGCATCTCGAACAGCAAAAGAGAGAGGAGAAGGAAGAATATTCTCTAGTTAAAACACACTTCTAGTGTTCTCAGCAGATATAACATGCCAACTCCTTCCAATTCTCATTCAGCCACCTAATTACAAATGTTCCCTTTATTTGTTAATGAGTCTTCAGAGTGCGAGTCATACATTGACTCACCCTCATCTTCGTTAAATTCTTAAATTCTACTAGACACATTGTCTGCCTATCCACACATGCCTCAAAGATGGCAATTCATGGTATGTACTGTAAAGTAATTCTTTACTTGATAATATTTTTTTTTTAATTATAATGTTTTATATTTAAAATGTATTATTTATCTGTTTTAGCATTTTTGTTTATTTGAGGGTATTAATAGCTCTCTAGTATTTATAGATCATGAGCATTATTAGGAGTAACGAACCTAGTAACATTTTATGAACAAATTCATGGCATGAATGCTTGTCTGGAATGTAACTCATTCGTAAAGTGGGGGAGTGTCTGCATATGAAAGAATCTGGTTATTGAAGACACGTAGACACTTGAAATCATAGCAGGTAGATCAATTCTTTTTTTTTTTTTTTTTTTACAACACAATGCTTTCACAATGAATGAATATTTACAATGCATCACTGATAAATGGCACTATAATTGCTCAAATTAAAAGATTACATGCCTTTTCCTTCATCTTCATAACAATTAATTTCAATGGAATAAAGAAGCAACAGAGGAGTGCAAGCAAGACGAAAGCAACCCCACAATAATATGAACAGCTAGGTTAGATTATCTAATTATGACAAAGCCACATGAGTTATCTGCCTAAGAGGAGGGATGCCTTCATGCAGGACTTTCCATGGGAAACTGGCTCATATTTACATTAAACAAGAGCAAAACCATGAAAAACAACCCATTCGCCTGCGGTTACTATTACAAAAAACAGCCAAAATCTAAATTTATCATAACACATTTGCTGATATTTGCAGAAATAACCCCTTTTTTAATGACAAAAACTAAAAAAAATACAATTTTCCCCAAGGCTAGTTTTGCCAACATTATCAACATTAGGGTTACTGAAAAACCTATTTCACACAGTGGGCTTCCAAATTTCATGAACAACCAATGCCACTTGGCAATTTTTTTTAGTTACAAACCAAGGGGTACTGTTCAGTACAGATCAGCCAAAATAAAAAAAAAAAGTCTCATCTTAAATTGTGTTTTATCATAACTTTCATTTAATGAAGTTTTTCACAGGATTTTGTTACTTCATTAAACAGAGGTTTGACTGCACTGACTTAGCTATTTGCTTGCATTTTCACAAGATTCAATTTTGTTTATAATTTTTTGAGCACCTTTTCTGCAATGACATTTGAAATCTTTTATAATATTGGGTTGAAACTTAAGTAATGGCCATTTATGTTGTGTTTAAAATTACGCAGTAAAAATAAAATGTATTGGCATAATGCTATGTGCTATTTGAAAGAGAATCTTTCCCTCTACAAGATGGCGTATTTGATTTTTTTGTCTGAGCTAATTTTTTTTATTTTTCAGATCATTAAAATGGAGTGTAAAGGTTACAATAATAAGCATTTTTGACACCTTCTACTTTTAGCCTTTAATCGAGGCAATGCTGCCTGAGAGATTTGTGAAGTGTATGAAGAAGGTGCAACGCCTGAATGAACTGGCAAGAAATTGGTTTGCCAAATTAAAAAATGGAAATTTTGACCTCAAAAACGCTGCATGTTCTGGACTACCAAATGAATTTAATGAAGAGTGTTTGAATCAACTTCTGCACGAAGAAGCATGTTAAGTGTATGGGGCAAGTCCAAAAACTCAGAGCTTGAGTCCCACACCTTTTGAATGAAAGCAACAAAAAACAATGATATATGATTTCGGCCAGTTTGCTTGCCTGTTATCGCTTACTCATGGATACAAAAAGCGCTTTCTTTACTAAATTGTTCTGGCCGACGAAAGATGGTGTCTGTGGGTAGAGAAGACTTTAAGGTACCCCTTGTATTATGGCTAAGTTGTTTCATTTATGGTAGCCTGAGTAGTTCAATGTTATGGAAACCCTATTGTGACGTAATGGGGTGCATGATTCTGGGAAATTTTGAAACATGGGATATGTTGTAAGCGTTTTTGTGGTGTGTGTTGGTTTGTTTCTTTACATGGTAGAATGGCAGAGTGTAGTAAGATTAATTTGAAGTTTCTGTACAATTTGGAGTGAAAGGGAAAAAAAGATCTTTAATTGACTGATGTGTAAATGAAGGTTTACTTAGTAGCCCTTATAAGTGTCCAGTATGTAGGAAGGTTATGTGTCTAGTCGCACATAAAAACTGTTTAGATGGATTTGAATGGGTTTGTAGGAAGAAAGGTTCAGATGGTCACTATGTGAAGCGTTCGATCAGAAAGAGTACCTGGTTTGAAAAAAGTCATTTGAGTATGATTGATATTTTGATTTTTACGTGGATCTGGGTGTATGAAGCGATTTCGAAAATCATGGTAAGTGAATATTTGCTTTTGGTAGTGCTTAAATGTATAACATGTTTTTTTCCTTTTATGTTATTTTATTATTTGGTTTTAAAATGTATTTATTGAGATTATGTTTTTTGTTTGCCTATATTGTAGAATTTGGTGCTTCTTTGACTTTGTAAGTGAAAAAGTCACGTTACATGGAAAAGTAGGGAGTGCGCAATGCCATTTTTGTGCAATTCGGGGATTTTTTTTAAGTGAAAATAGTCGACATGTAATGGATAGTCAAAGGAGTGCGCAATGCCATTTTTGTGCAATTCGGAGATTTTTTTTTTAAGTGAAAAAGTCGATGGTACATGGATACCGAGTTTGTCAATTGTTTGTCTTGTATTTTGGCTTTGTTAGCTGCGGCGATTTTGGAGCAAAATCGCCACTTTCGCAAGCCAAAATGACAAGTAAGAATTGCACAAAATCGGTATCTATGTACCTCCAAAAATCGCCAAGGGGTACCCTAAACTATACTTTTACCATGTCTGTATGTCAACATGAAGCAGCACAAAGAATGGTTAAGCCCGAGTAAACAAGCGACACCACAAGCAAAAAAAAAAAAAAAAAAAAAAAAAAAAAAAAAAAACTTCATCCATTAAAGTGGATGCGGAACGAGCAGCGTCTTTGAGGTGGAAATTCCCATTTTTGAATTTTCTTGCAGTTCGTTCAGGCACTGCACCTTCTCCACACAGTTCAAAAATCTCTCAGGTAGCTTCTGCAGCATTGGTGCCTTGATTAAATGCAAAAAGAAGAAGGTATTGAAAATGCTTATTTTTATCGACTTGACACTCCTTTTTAATGATCTGAAAAATAATAAAAATTAGCTCGGACAAAAAAAAAAAAAAAAAAAAAAACACCATCTTGTAGAGGGAAAGATTCTCTTTTAAATAACACAAAACATTTTATTTTTAAGGCGTAATTTTAAACACAACATAAACAGCCATTACTTATATTTCAACCCAATACTCGGCTGAATCACAGTTATTTAACAATGATTTTAATGGTTAATCTTTGGATTATGGTAATTTGGTGATTTTTTGGCGACCAACCCTGCTACAGCAACCTGCTAGTTTTTGTTTGGAATCCATTTTGTTTTCACGAAGTAAAGGCTTTTTTTTTTTTTTTTTTTTTTTTACTCAACATTTCCAGCATTTTTTTTCCAACAATCTGCTAGCCGAATTACGCTTATGCTAGAACTTTTATGGAACAAAAGTGCAAATCATGACGAAGATTAGATGCGAAATTGGGACAAAGTGCAGAATCGCCCACTGCTTGCCACATTTTTACAAATTGCACATACATGGTATCATCCATGTACATGTCGACCTATTTTCATTTAAAAAAACATCCCAGAATTGCACAAAAATGGCATTGCGCACACTCTTGACTATATCTATAAAGTCCTAGCTAGTAACCTTTATCGCCTTACCAAAATGTCACCAAACTACCTGTTACCATATTCCAAAGATTAGCCATTTTAATTTTTCAGTTTGCTGTCACATTTCAAAGGAAAATCATTAAAAATATTACTTATCATTTACAAGTTCTTGTTACTATGGTAAATTATACATAAATTCTTATCACTTATTGTCATTAAAAAGGAATCATCTACAATAACATTAATCATAAAAGATCATGGTCCAACCATGATGAATCAGTACAAATTATATTGAAAGCTAAATTGCATCAGAAAAAGCTCATGCTATCAATTTGGTGGAGTTACAAAGGTGTATATTTTGAGCTACTTCCAAGCAACCAAATGATCAACTCAATGTTTACTACCAACAGCTTATGAAATTGGAAGAAGTAATAAAATAGAAAAGGCCAGAATTGGCACATAACAAAAGAATAATGTTCCACCATGGAAATGTGAGGGCTCACATATCTTAAGCAACACATACAAAATTATTACAGCTAGGCTTGGAGTGATGTCACATCTCCATATAGCTCTGACCTTGCACCTTCAGATGAACATTTATTTCAATGTTTACAAAACTTTTTAATGGTAAAAATGTGAGTAGTAATGATCTCAAATCACACTTGGTTGAGATTTTTGCTGATAAAGAGTAGAAGTTCTTTGAGTGTATATCCATGTAAGTTAAAAGAAAGATGGCAAGAGGTCATCAAACAGAGTGGAAGATACTTAACTGATCAAAGTTCATTTTATTTCACACTAAAAAAACAAAACTACTTTCTTGACAACCAAATAGTTGAATTCCAGCTTCTCTTCATGCTAAGTTTCATAAAAATTGTCATAAACCTTCTAAAATGCTTTAAATGAAAAATTCTTGTTTACACAGAAGTGATAATCTTTTTCGTCCTGATGTTTTGATAAAACATTTCACAAGAATTCATTCTCAGAATCTTTATATGAATTAATCTGTGACAGAAGGATGGAAAATTTCTGTATTTCTTCAGTATTTATTTCTAATCAAGTAAATGGGAGTTATTTTATTTCAAAATATGCTTAGTTTATTCAGAAATAATTTGTCTTTCAATATGTAGGCTTTTTTTTTAAATTTTATTTTTTTGTTGGAAGTGACAAAGGAGCACTTTACACTCATACGAAATAATTAAACATACTTTACAAATGATGGATCAACAAATAATCTCTGAATTTTTTGCAACCCTACAATTAAGATTACAATTTTGTGCCTTGAAATTTGAAAAAAAGGTTTAATCCTAGTATCTGGTGCACACGGGATATGGCTACTTTTGGCGACTTTATGATGAGCAGTAAAAACGCGACATATACGATGAGTAGTAAATGGGTCATTCAAAGAAACATATATAGTTATACATAGTATATACTATGTATATAATGATAGTATAAAGTGTATAGTATATACATAGACGTTCTTTGGGACATTTTTGGTGTTGGCGATAATTTTCAAAATAGCGCCAAGGCTGCACCGTATACTAGGATTTCACCGAAAAAAATTTTGGTTCTTAAAAATATTGAATTTCGGATACATTTTCCCAGTCTTCTTAAATATTCCAATGAAACAGCATAGACAAATACAACAGGTAATTTTTTTAAAAGGAACTAGAAATAAGAACAGCTTAAATCAAGCTACAACTTTTAACAATGAAACATTCTGATATTAATATTTTTTCGATACAAAAGCACGCTTCTTCTGCAATTTTATAGGAAATTACAAACTCCCCAACTTAATAATGTGACTCTTGTTTTCTAATACATTATGTGTACTTGAAATAAAAAGGATAACAGCTATTTCATAAATAGCAAGATAAACTACACATTTTATCGATTTATATATACAACAAAAGTTGAGAAATTTCAAACTAATATTTATTAAAATATTAAAACTTAAATAAATAATCAAGAGATAATAATTAAAATTAAATCATGAAGGGATTAACTTTCTAAAAGGAAATAAGCATGCCAAAAATTGAAACAAAAACAATTAATCAAGCATAATAATTACTTTATTATAAAACATAATAATTTTGGCACAGAAAGTAAATATTTTATTAAATTTTAATATGCATATTTCCTATTACAAAGTAGATACTCATGATTTAATTACTGTCTTCATTATTTTATATATATATATATACAGACATTCACGGGGAGCTAATATACATCTACGAAAATAAAACCCTGTTTTGGGCATTATTGGCAGCAACAGTTCTGAGTTAAATTTGAAAATGGGGAGGAGAATTTTCATTTCACCAAACAGCTAGGATACCAACTACCGTTAAGCAAGTGGTACACTCAATATATATGCAACATTATAATATCTGTGGATAATACAAAATTCTCAAGAAAGAAAACAACAACCTACCCTCATTAATACTAAGCGGTATTTAACGATGGATTATTTTCATATTTAATGACTCATAATATTCAATTTCTACCCCATTTCTAGTTTCACATTTTTAAAGTTAAAAAGTATATATCAGACATAAAAATGTGAATCCAAATGAAAATTTTAAATATTTGAGAAAGTGCATTGTTTTTATTTTCATATGATTTTAAAATTATTTTAATGCATTAAATTTCATAAACATTCGTACTACACAGATACTTCTCTCACTTTAACATATTCATTTAAAAAAGACAGACAGACATCTTATTTTGCATCAGATACGTCTTTTTGCCACAAAATGAGAAAGGAATGTGGCTTGCATATTCACTACATCGATTTTTCAGCTTCCCTCAGGGTCACTCTCTCTTTGTCCCGTAATCAGGGGTGTAGCTAGAAGGGGGCAAGAGGGGGCATCTGTCCCCGGGCTCAGAATCCAAGGAGCGCCAAACTGATGTGACGACATTTTAGAATTAAATGTTTTCCATCCTTGGCAAGCAATAGGGGGCGCGAAATCTTCAGTTGTCCCTGGGCGCTGAAAACCCTAGCTACTAAGGCTCCTCTTAGCCTTACTAGCTACGACTTTGCCCGTAATCGGGCAATCTTACTTCTTTCAACCGTAAGCGGTTGTTATCAGGCTCTAAGCACATCTTTGTTCCCTTCTTAAAAGAGCTCTAGTGCAAGGATTACTTAATTTAAATTTAATCTCTGTAAAAGAACTTAATGCTTTTTCATTAGTTATCATAACACTTAAAGTTAATACAATCTTATTATATTTATAAAATTTCTTCTCAGAGGCATTGCTGGCCGTGTCTCTTTAATTCAAACTCGCCTAACGAGTTCCCGCTTTTCCCCTTCCCCAGACACGAAGCACTTGCGACATGAAGGTTTTCGCGAATGTTTCCGCTCTCGTGTTGTTAACACCACATGACCATTGATCAAGGAAACATAGATGCTTTTCAAAATTCATGATGTAACCCTTCCAAATTGATTCTGACCCTTATTCGACACCAAAATTACTAAATTAAGTCCTTCAGTGTTTTTATCTTTTTTCACTGTGAAAGGCAGTTACTCTTTTTGTTAAATTAACATTTTGGCACTAAATTTACCTCTTTGCGGAATCCTCTTTTTGGCGATAAAAACAATTCTTTGACGATGTGGGGATAAAGGCTACACGCCTAAGAGTTCCGTAATAGAACCCTTCCTTGGTCCTTGGTCCAGACCTTTTCTCTACGGTCTGCTTTCATTGGATGAAAAATCTGTTCGCCGATCATATTTGGAATAATGCGTAAGGGCATTGATCGGAGGAACCACGTTCTTAAACTCTTTAAGAAGAGTCTTTTAACGTCTCTTTAACAAGGGACAACTTATCTCCGTAGCCTCACGCGTCTGCATTTAATTTCTTAATCGTTTCTTAAAAGCTTCTTTTCACCCGCTAAACGGGTTGCATTCGATCCCCCTTAAGGAGCGCTCTTATCTGTCAGTTAAACGTCGCACTGAATAGCGACCAAAATTTCTTCTCCTCCATCAGCTGTATACTCTGATCAGCTCCTAGAACACCCCCCCGCCCAGTTCGCCGAGCTACTACGAGTGGGTGCGAGTTCATTGAATTCGCGCTGGCTCCTCTCATCCGGACTGCTTGTTCTAAGGATTTTATTTTACTGTTGATATCAAGAATCAAGAAATGTATTGCACCTTTTTTATTCTTTTCAAAATTTTATAAATGATGACTGCCCTATCAAAATTGAATTCTGGCCCTTTTTAGACACGAAATTTAATTAAAAAGACCTTCTCTTTTTCTCATGCGGAAGGCATTATCTGAAAAGCTTTTATTTTTTATAATTTAGGTTTCAAAATTTTCCCTTATTTAGATGAACCCCTCTTTTGATGTAATTATTTTTATCTCTGACGATGTGGAGTTAAAGACCTAGCCTAACGCACTCCGTAAATCCTTAATCCTTGATCCTTAATCCATATTTGGAATATAGGCTTTTCAGGCTTGTAAGCGGGGAGAGATAGCGTTTGTTTCATGAGAAAAATTTTTATTTTATGAATGAAAGCTACGGGTAATTTTGTGGATATTTTAAATAACTTACTGATTTTATTAATAGTTTATTTGTATTTGATTAAAGAATGAATTGCAACTGTTAAAAGTAAGGTAATTATTTTGCAAGAAAAGTGTTAACATAGAAATGGCATACGTACTTTTTTGTCATTTTTGTTAGGAAGAGTCTCTTGTGAATGAATGCAACAAATACAATGTAATTTAATATGCTTATTGCAATCTAGATTTTTTGCCGCAATGGTTTTGTTTTTGTTCAAATATACTTTTTCTTGATGAAGCGTACTTGATGATGTTCAGTTGATATGTGTAAATGTTAAATTAAATTACCGTTCTTAATTAAAAAGTTTTTGCTGTGAAGTTTTTTTCTAACAAACTTCACAGCAAAAAGTTTAGCAAAAACACACAGCAAAACCGCAGTTATTAAAATAAACGGCTCTGGTGTAGAATTGGGTGCCCCTTCGACTAGCGATAAATTTTGTTCAATTTTGGCCACAAAACTCTATTTCTGGTTATCATGATAGTTTTAACTTTGCTTTAGCTTCCTGACTTTTTTTAAGGAAAAATAGATGGACAAACTTAAGGCAGTGCGCAATGCCAAGTTTGTGCAATTCTCTGATGTATTTTTAAGGGAAAATTGATCGATGTGTACACGGACACCAAGTTTGTGCAATTCTTTGACTTTTTGTTTGGATTTTGTGTAGCAGCCATCTTGAAATTGTGCCTTCATCCCATCAATCTTGGCATAAAAAAAGAATTTGTAAAAAAAAAAAGGGGGGGGGCACCCAATCGTAAACTTTTACCAAATAAACTAAAAATATAAGTGATTTTTTTATTTTTTGAATATTTCTTCGTTCAGATTAAAAGAGAAATACATGATTATGCATATATTTGGAATATATTGTTACGAATTTTTGGATATATGTAAGTAATTTTAGTAGAGTTATGTTTAAAATTGTAGAAATGCTTGAAAAGGTAGAAGCTGTGCCAGAAAAATAAGACTACAGAGGGTAAGTCTAACTCTATGTTAACTCTATGGCTATCTCACTAAAGTGAGGAGAGTTTCTAATTCTTGTTACCAAATTTGCTGAGAAATTGTTGAAGGTCTGTCTAAAAATCGTTAAAACCCATGCGGCTATTTGGTAACGTTTCGGTTCCGAGTAACTAATTGATACTGTAACAATATACGGCCCTTATATGTAAATTTAACAATATATTCCTGGAAGAAATATATTCCTTCCAGGAATATCGAGAAATTTGCTTTTCCCTCGTATCTAAGCTTGATTTTTTGCCCTGCAGGCAAAAAAACTTCACAAAACAAGACATCTGTAGGTGCATAACAAGATATGTCTGCGGGTGCAAAACAAAAAAATCTGCATCTTCTTCTGTCTGCAAGGCTCTGGAAATTTTTCGGCGGCAGAGGGAAAGTTATGTAAGGACAGAGAGAGCATTAGTTCTCAGTTTTTGTTCAGAGTTTTGGAGTATTGAGAGATACCCGTGAGAGCTCCGCTCTTTAGATGTACTTTGCAATAAATTGTGCTTAATACTCTTGTGTAGTTTGAAGTGGTAACTACTGACTGGGCTCTGTTATACTGAGAAGAGCTGTACAAGTACTTTTGTAGAAAGTTCCAGAACTGTAAAATGTTTTTTTTTTTCGGAAAATAAATTTTATCGAACTATCAGCATTTCAATGTGCATTCAATCCATTAAGAATCCGTATGCATGCAACAATATTTAATGACACGATTTACGTTTGTATAAAACTAAATTGTTAAAAACCCTGTAAATAGCTAGAAGGACTATTATGATCATGTAAAATTATTTCTTAAGCCTAAAAAGATTTTTCAAAAGAATTACTCAGTTTCATTACATTTCCGTGTAATTCCTACTTAAGAGATTTTTGATCAAAATCTTCATTCTTCTGATCAGCCTAGCGACATTTCTACACAAGCGTGTTACAATTTAAAGCCCAGAGAGGATCATGGATTTGTAATCATGTGATTTGAAAGTAGCACATTGTACATAATTGTTTTAATAGGTTAATAATTATTCTCTGCAAGTTGTTTTTTCAAAGATTTACTGGATCAAGTTTGTTTACTTTTCTTTTGCTGCACGACTAGTTAAGTTGAATCTGGTTGTTTTTGACCTTAATCAAATTCATGTTTATTCAGGAATTATTAACTGCGTATCTCATCACACTGATTGTGAGATTTTTTTTATGTAGATCATTGTTGGTTTACCCACTTTGCTTTTCCTTCAAGTTAAGTTGCTTTTGGAATTTCTCTTTTAGTACCAGGGCACCCCTTAGTGTTTTCGGCTTAGTTCTGATTAGTTGGTTGCTATTTCTTAATCACACTTATTATCTAGTGCTTTTGGTCTGTTAAATATTTGCCAGCATTTATTTTGTATCAAATTGGTGGCAATTTTGAACAACTTAGGATCAACATTTGGGAAGAGGTGTGTTAAATGTTTATTTTGACGGGCAATTCGTAGTCTTTAGTTTACTTTCAGAATGAAATTTAGCTTTGTGCCTTCCAAGATTATAATGATTTTCAAAAGAAGTTGATTTAGATTAACTTAAATTGCTCATCTTAAATTTATTTCATAATTTTTGTTATTTACTAATTGCCATAATTGGCTACTTCAAATAATTCTTAAAAGAATTTGTTGCCACTCTCATCGCTACTTAGATCGTAACTTACAACTGATTTTTGGGTCAGAGACTATTGGTTTTTTTCGAAACATTGTGGCAAACGAAAATTTTTCATTTTGGTATGGAGCAGGATTTGTTATGTAACGTGTTTGATAATTAAAGTGATATTTAAATTTTGTAACTGGTTAGCTTTTAATTTTTAAAGTGGTTTAATTTAATTTGGTATTACTTTACTTAATTTGAATTTATTGATTGTTTCATAATTTTAAGAACTAAAGTTTTCGATTTGAGTTGTGATGCTTTACTAAAAGTGGTTATTGGTAATGATTAAGCTTTATTACCTTTAAGGAGAAATTTACTTTATTTAATGTCTGTTTGAAAATTTAATTCTTAATTTAAGTTTCGTTTGGTTTTATACTTTTGAATTATTTGCTGTCTGTTGGGTTTAGTAACAGAAGTTATTAACCTTAAAAATTTTAAATTTTGTTTCTATGTTACACTTAATAAGTTTAAGCATAATTGTTTTGCTAATTTTAA